GTTTACACTATGTACACTTCTAGGTTACTCGATGTTCACACGTACATATACTACACTACTGTACAATACTGTATATGTACGTACATATGTTCGACTTATGAACAAATCGACTTACGAACGACCGCTCGGAACCGAACGTGTTCGTAAGTCGGGGAGTCTCTGTACATCTTGCTCAGTGTTTCCCCGGCATTGACACGAGCGAGGCGGGCCGCCTCACTCAAATTCTCAGCCGCCACACAGAAATTTGTCCAAAACACCGCCTCGCTGACGAAAACCACTGTTCTTCCATAGAACAGTGCTTATAATGCACCAAATTGCACCATTTTTTCCAAAAATTTCCCAAGGAGGCATACCCCCGGGGCCCACCTAGCTGTGTTTGCTAAGACCTCGAAATGCGCAAACACACCAAATTTTTTTCCCACCTTACAGACCTTTTTGGCTAGGGGAAACACTGCTGCTGAATGTTTTTATGGCGTGGCCCTACTGACAGTGCGTGTATGTTACATTACGCAGCAACGTGGGTGAATGTGTGAATGCTCGCACTTTGCTATGTATCCCACTACACGTATTTATGGCGCCTCCTCAACCTTGGTAATAGCGCAAACATCATCTATGCGCTAGGTGCGTTGCGGCAAATCTGAACGAATTCTGCTGAATATGGGCAAAACATTGTTACTACAGTAGTCCAAAAACCCAGATGCCAGAAATCCGGACCACCCAAGAACACGGACTTTTTCGAGAACTCAAACTTTTTAAATTTAGCAAGCTTTTGTGTTTGAGCGTAAAAAAAAATTTTATGTTTACATTTTTGTCAAGTGTTGACTTTATTTTTCTTTAAAACTGCTCGTTTTAATAAATGAAGCACTCTATTTGCTAATGGTTAAAACCATCAAAATTTACCTGGGGCGCGTTTCACAAACGTCCGTTCGCAATTTTCTCCGCTATCTTCTCCGCTATCTCCCGAGTTGTCCGCTAAATAGCGGAGGGCGCGTTTCACAAACGTCCGTTCGCTATCTTCTCCGCTATCTTGTGCGCTAAATAGCGGAAGACGCATTTAACGAACGTCCGCTCACTAAAGTCGCTCGCTATTTACCGCATTTTAGCGGAGCTCTGCACGTCCCGCTAAGTTTAGCGGAGCACTCTATTGTGTATATAAAACCCATAAAAATACAAAATTCGCACTAAACTACCATGAAATAAAAGCTTTCATAACAAAAATAATCTTGGCTGTTTATTATGCATATTATTGCACTTAAAAAAACTGTTTTAACTCTACATTAAAAGAATATGACAAAACGTTGTATTTAACCTGTTAATAGTTTACCATGTATTGTGGTTATTGACAGCACCGTTTTACAGACGCGATTGTCTGTACCTATAGTTTGTATAAACTGCGTGGTTCTCAGGCGGTCAACCCCATTAGCACGTACGCACCACGTTAGCACGCACCGAGTTGTGAGCGTGGTATGTGATGATACAGTAATTAGCACGTGTACGTGTACGCAGTAATTAGTAAAAACTAAAACACTTCACTACAATGCATAAGCAACCATTTCGTGTAACTCTCATGGTCAACGCC